TGGATAAGTTATACATTTGATAATACTGCGAGTGAGAACCACAAAAAAGTAGTAACGGTGACGTGAATAATTTATCCGAACCAAACCTGCAGGAAGTTAATATACGAGACAAGATCGACCTTACATGACAGCGATGACACAATCTTGTGATAGTGTGTATCAAGTCTGTGATGGTGTCTGAGCGTTCACGTACCATGATAAAAAAGGAGCATTTATGTAGTTCAATGTTTCTGTGGAGAATATGAAGTACTGCTTCATAAGTATACGTTTTAAAAGGTCCTTGCCGGTTATAAATTCCCCCACTGACCGAGGCAAGCTGTATGTGACTGCCTTTAAATCTCGACTGTCAATTTCTTATTGGTTTCAAATGTACACCTATGGCAGTCTTCGCACTCTGCTCTGCATACATGTTCCGAGCCTCTAAAGGGTTGCCGAAATTGTGTTTCTTAAGCAGAAGAATCTTCATCGTTGCATGATTAGACCGTAACCTCCATGTTCGCTTAACTAGCTCAGACATTTGAAGAATGCATGGCAGACTTACCACAGGAAAAAGCTTTTACAAACAGATAGCACAAGTACACTTAGCGTACAATTTTGACAAACGCGAACGTCACCAGCTAAAAGAGTCATTTCGTCACATAAGTCACGATTCGATATACTAATCAAAGATAACCAGCAAACCAGACAGCATCTGGTCATAACTGCACCTTAAGTGTAGGGTATGAAACAAACCTTGCCTGAACTCATATAATACTATCTGGTCTCAGAATAAATCATATTCAGAAATACTGTCGAAATACAACATAGAACAATTACCTCTCGATAAGGTCGCAGAAAAATTCACCAACATGTGGCACTTCCTCCTTATCCTCCCAGATTGGAAGCCATGAAATGAAAGCTGGTAAAATTAATGAAGCGTCGATCATGCTGCAGTTGTATTTCATAATCTTTGCTACTGCTGAAATAGCATTCTCGGTGGCGCTCGACATGGCTTCCGTTGACCTTGCATTTGGATCCCGTATCATTTTGATCAAGTAAGGTAAGGATTCTACAAAAAAGCCACATAGCAATGTGAATAATTAGATAGCATCAAAAACGAATTTACTAAGGTAGAAAAAGTCTGATAACAAAGGTTGTGGCAATAAAGCAGCGATATTTCAAAACAGACCGTCTAAGTTAAGTGACTACATCACTAAACGACCTACGGAACCTTAATGCTTGAAAGATTTAATGTAACGGCTATTGAAAAGCTTAGCTACTTATTCTCACTCAGCGTCTGCTGAAACCCACGTAGTACAATGATAGAAAGAACGCTGCGTAGAGATGCCTCAATACAGCGGCCTTTGGCAGGGTGTTCGTGTCCATACAAAACATACTATCAAAACAGGAATTTGCCTACACAAATATCAAATACCATTTAAGTACAACGCGCCAAGTAGAACCAACAGACACACGATTTGGCTTCGCATTTTCATTATAAGTTCCATGAGGACAAAGCTTGCAACGGTGCCACCACCACTTATTGTTGCGTAACAAACCTTGATCGAATTGTTTGCTGACCAGATATATGACGTTATACGAGTTTAATATCACGTTCACCCGTCAGTTCTTTGCATTTCTAGATGTCAAGAATTCAGTATCATTCCGGCCGGTGTCTACAGGACTTTTTAATATAATGGTCGTTGCTTTTCACGAGGTGATTAAACTAACGTGCTAATAGCCCCTGCATTTTCTTGATGGACCATCAAGTTCCAAACTGAGTCTAAATCTATTTAATAGCTTCCAGGACATTCAAAAGAGACCATAACAGCCGCTTAAAATTCTCCTTTATGAAGACATGCGTGGTGGCCCAAAGTTCATATTCGTAATTTACCACAACCCGGATCAGAAATTTGGCATAACTCACCATGGCTAAGCCTCGGTTGTAGCTGTTGTAGCGATTCTTCATTCTTTTCGACAAACTTATCATGTAGGAAATCCTGCATTTGTAGCCTAGTTCAAGGTCTCACGTCTCAGAGTCAATATATTTCGCACTGATAGAGCTAAGCAATGGAAATGAGGCTACATCAACCATTCACTCGACAGTTCTATAGGAATATACCTTCGTAATGTGGCACTTTCTTCGTCAGGCGAATTTAAAATAGAACTGTTTGTTGCAGATATAGACTTTATTAATAGTTTACGCCAGTGCGGCCAAAGGTGTCGAAAAAGATTTATGCATGTCAGTATTTACCAAGGCGTTCAAGAGGATCAATTACTACCAATATTAACAGATGAAGTTAGTTAATGAAAAATTCAGAAATACCGGAACAAGCCTGAGCACAAGCGTTACCACCGCACATCGCCATTATCCCTATGCCGTAAGCAGCCGCTTGTCGAACTTCAGGATAGGCATCCTGCAGGCCGGCTATCATGCACGGTAGTATGCGAGGCAAGTACTTCACCGATGCCTTAACTAACGTATGAGAGAAGAAAAAGCAAAAATGTTAAAATACAGCTCCGCCAAATTCGAATATATCGTCAAACATGCAAATTCCCCACTGCCGATCGCCATATGGTCTAGTCGGTTCCTAAATGAAGCGAAACTTTCATGACACGCAAAATGATTATGAATAAATAACAGACGGTACTCACGACTAATTGAAATATATATGACACGAGTTTGTCGAAGTAAGGCACTACTGCTTCAGTATGAGTCTGGAACATGGAGTGCAAGATGTCAGACATTTTGCCCAATACAAACGTGTCATCGTCGTGCTAAAACATAATAACACGCTAGATTTGTTTCACAATTATTACATTTCAATTTAAATAATTAAAATCCTATTTGCCTCCACAGCGTTAGATATTAGTGCCCTAACCCTAACCGTCAACTGTTAACAAAATAGAATTCTATAAAACTATGGTCGAGTTGATTGGCTTTTACTATAATCCAATTAGCGGCAGTTTAACTTCTTAAAACCATAAGGCGTGTCAGTCAGAATCGATACGATCGCAAAATTCAAAGTCAGACATTCTGATGTGCTAATTAAAGTGCAATGAGAAAATAGAATTTTATGAAAGACGGAAAAATTGATGAAAAATACTTCATCAGCCAGTTCGTTTTCAACTTCTTCATCGTAATCCTCTCCTTTCCTCGTCTCTAAAATTTCCATTTAGTTAGAAAGAAAAATTCGATGATTACGACATTTAGGCCATACCTTCCCGCTTAATTTCGTTTTCGAAATGCTTAATCAAATATTTCTCCAACATGTCTGCGATTTTTTCCATGTCTTCGTTACTCAGACAGTTAGCACCAAGACATTCGATGCACTAAACAAAAAAAAATACATTATGAATCATGAATAAATCATAATGAAATTAGAAATAAAAATTGCAATTCAGGCATCCAAAATAACAAACGGATAAAAAATTCACAACATTTAGCACTGCAGTTGTAATGAAATTTCGATACCAAAATTCTTTCGCGCAACATACCGCTCAGAATGTTAGCAATGAATTCCAATATGGTCGGCTATGAAGGCAATGCCAACAAGACGCTAACAAATCTGTGCTGGTCCTTAAGGCAAACCTGTACAAGAAAACGTACTATGAAAACGAGCTTAAATCAAACGAATGAAGGCCATCGTTCTATTCATTTCCAAGGTCCATGAAAATCTTATGAACATGCCATTCACAGCCTGAACAGATGACTGCATCCCAATCTATACCTATGAAATACCAACTGCATTGCAAGAGCAGAACTGGAATATCAATGCATATACCTGCCTCTCCAAAAGTGCAACCTAAATAACTATACTGCGGAAAGCGAGTTACGAAATAACGATTTACATGCCCGGATGGAAAAAAGATTTTCCTTAGCCTTGAAGACCAGTTAAAAACAATTCTAAAACAATATGCTAATGAAGAGTCGAGAGCTGTTTAGTATTTCAGGCAATTTATGGAACAGTATAGTACCTGGGAACAAATAAATGCTGAGGTCCGTATTAATGCCAGCAAAAGTTCGGTGAAATGCTTTCACTATATCGACTATTCGATAATCAAAAATGAACTTTGAGCAAGGAGAACAAAAATTCAAGACGTAATTAGATCTGCGTTCAATGAAAACGTTACTTAAATACGCATACACGGTCTTCTATCTCAGCCGAAGGTGACATTTATTAGCTATATTCCGCGTTTATTCCGTCGCATAACTGCGTTTATTTGACACATGGCTCTAATAAACTCAAAGAAATCTGAAAACAAATATAACTGATTGCATAATTTAATGATTAATTTAATGCCACCATCCTATCAGAATTAAACAAGAGGATCACCTTTGCATCCAGTGCTTTTCCTAACCTGTCAAATGTTCTAAAAAAGAATAGCCCTTTCAACAAAATCCACCTGCATATTCCCTCTGTCAAGTCAGTGATGTCGTACGGCATGGACAGTTACTCCACAGAAGAAGCAAGAACGAGGACTTAACTGCGTGTTACAGCGTAGAGTTTGATGCATAATAATGCATCAGATGGCGGGACCACATGCCGAACGACTACATCCTATTCCGGGCAAAGGACCGCTCCACAGATGAAGAGACTAAGAAAATGAACTTGGCCCTGTTAGACAAACTGGTTGAGCATGCACCATTTACTCCAGCCTGCACACGCGATAGCCGACAGACGTTGACCAGAAAGAGAATGCAACATAGAGGAATCAAGTATAGACAGATCTGCTATCAGAAAGGAATCGTTCTTTCAGCGATGCAATAATCGATGCACAATTGTAAAACAACTGTACAACCATGAATACAAGGGACATAGAAACATGAGACATTTTGTTTACAACAACAGCTCAAGATGATGATTACACAAACATACGCGCATTTAGCGTTGATATAATCATAGCACCCAACCACAGAATACTGTCATAGGCAGTGGATTAAAATGAACTTTCGAGAGTACATAATTCATCTTATGTATGTTGCACTATACTAAGTGCGACACTTAGTCTTCTAAATAAGCTGAGCGATGGGACTGGGAATCTGCTCAGGCTACTTGTGATAAAAATTAACAGCATGACGTCTGTCTGCACAAATAACAGATGAAGAAATTTATTTAAAAATTTTGAAGTATAATAATTGTAAACTTAGGATAGAAGGCAAAGTTGCTACGAAACAAATGCTTTGAACAGCAGAGAGACTGCTTGCCACCAATGATAATAAATCTAAAGGTTTCAACCCACGCATAAATCTATTTTACCTCATCATTAAAAAACTTCCAACTGGGCACAACACATGACCAAATTTAAGGTTCACTGTGGAACATTCGTGACCTAGCATCTGGTTTGATATCATACGCAACGAATAAACCAAACATTCCTGAAGCACTGTAGAACGAAAACGAAGATACGAAATCATCAAGAGTGACTGAGAAACCGGAAATGCTATCTGGAAACTAACATAGGACAACACAACAACAACCTCTAGAGAAACACGTCAAAGTTGGACGGAGGGTACGACAGCAGTTCGGAGTCAAAATCAGCAGATTTTTTAGATTGCTTCCATCTTCCGTTTGTTATTTTTTCTAAATCAACTGCATATGTTCAGATTTGACGTCTGAATACGCTAATGACATGTTGTTTTGTACTCTTCAATAAATTTCTTACATTAATTGACGCAGCAAAGTCAAAAATGACCCCCTGAACGCATGTGCTATGGCAAAAACAGAGTTAAAGTACACTTGCGCTATGCACTTAACTGCTTGTAATAAATTTCATTTTATGACTTCTGATTGATTCACTGTAACGCTATCGTAGATATTGTAAGAAAAATGGATACCAAGAACATGTAAGAAACAGTATTAACAATGTAAAACAGCTTTTCGCAACTGCTGATTCTCAAATTGACAAAAAATATACATAAGCAACAAAAAATCAAACAATCAGTTGATAAAAAGTGCAGATCTAACGCTAACATCAACAAAACAAATTTTTGCTGACTGGCAGACACGACACCTCTCGCCGATATAAAATGTTCTGTCAATTTCAGGCAGGAATACGTACCTTGGCAAGGGACCACATCAATTCAGTAATGACGTTATTGTCACTATCAGCTGGGATGCTTTGAACAAGTTCAGGAAATATGTACCGCCACATTTGCGAAACGAACACCGCGCCTTTAACCTTCGCTGCTTCCAGTAGATATGGCAAACTTTCTGCAGCGGCCGTTCTGACGCCATCGTGGAAGTAGAACCTCAGTAGCGGCACCATCAACTTGGTCACAGGTTCGACATAGTCGGCGAAACTTTCTTTCAGTTCGCGGGCATAGCAGACAAGCATCTGACATGCGGTCGCTTTGTCTTCAAGGCCCGCCGTTCTAATGCCAAAGCTTTGCTAAAAAACGATGGTAAGAATTAGGCAAAAGCTTTCTAAACCAACCTTATCTCCAATGTTAAGAAACTGCCATTCGTTGTCCTCTTCCTGGAGTCCTTCGGCGTCTTCCTCTAAAACGGTCCAAGCATTCAGACGAAACCGAACAAACCTATTTTACACTATGCTACCTTCAACAAGCGTCATTTCAGGCTTCAGTGCAGCAGTGTTCATAACAGTCGGCATTACCAGCGGGAGGTACTGTTGAAAGTCCTTTCCGAGTACCTTGCATAGTCTCGCCCAAGCACTGATCATATACGACACCTTAAGATCATGTGACGATATAAAATCATATAGAAAGCTAATGCGCAAAAGCAGTGAACCTGAGGATCATCCGGTTGCAGCTGGCCCATTTCTGTCTGCGACGACAGTAACATCTGCAGT